AACTCAAATACCCTGAGGTCCCCTGTGTATCAGCAGCATACACTGCATGTAATTTTAGAAAGAACCAAGTTTTCCTCTCTTATTTGGTTGCTTCTGGACATTTGTCCTGGTTTGAGCCGGGATGAAGCCAATTCTCCTTTTACTGATTTTTTTTTTCCTTCAGTAAGCTTTCTTTTAACTAGCACCAGTATGTTCAAACTAAGGCTGGTAAGAGTTTCAATCCAGCAAAGTTTCTCTCTTTTTCTCTCTCTCCTTCACCAGCTGGGTGGGCAGGGGAGGGGATAGAGAGCACTGTTGTCGAACCCGAGTCAAACAGTAACAACATTAAAGAAAAATAATTTTCAACATTGTTCAAGGACACTTGAACACTACAGCTAGATTGTTAGAACAAAAGATTTGATGGAAGAACCTGGTTTGAAAGGGGTGGAGGGAAATTGTAATACAGATTACATATAAAGGAGCAACAGCATAATTAGAAGCCTGAACTAAAGAGTCTGTGAAAAGATGCATTAACAGTGTAAATAAGTGACTTTGCTATCAATATTTATTTTTCTCACAAATATTTTAGTGATTTATTCTTTTCAAATGTTATGACAGGGAGACCCACCTCATAGCCACATTGCTTCCATCAATGACAATTGGCCTCAAGTTATCACTGTTATCCACAACTTCATCTTCAAGTGACAATTCAGGGCTTGCTATTTCCTTTGTGCAAGGGCCTCTTGGCACCAGAGTGCTAATGGTACCGCTGGCACTGCTCTGTCCCTCGGGTTCACTCTTGTTACCAAGTCTCACCAGCTCTGCCAGAACATCATTGATGAGGGCATCTGCTCCCAGTTTATTCAGTACAGCCTGGATCTGATCTCCTGCATATCCAAGCTTTAAAGCAAAATCCATTTTAGCTTGGTATTCTTTGTCCAAATTTGCTTTGCATTCATCTAGCTTCAAGTCTTGGGTGATACTGCTCTGTGAAAAACTTGGGCGATCCAAACAAGGGGACCGACAGAGCGGCCGATGTGGTTTGGTGGAAACCTCCTTTTCTCTCCACTGAGTGTGGCTACAGCTGGTTCTGAAGTATGGTTGCTCAGGTTCACTTTCTGAGCTCGTCCATTCCTCAGATTCAGCACTGCATTCCCCAGCATCTTGTTCCACATTTCTGTCTTCTCTGGAGTTCCTCTTCTCCATTTTTAACTTCCCTACCATAGACCAGGCCGTCATCACGTTCAGCTTCCAGCCAGAGAGCTCAGTCCTCCTTCATCTCCAAAGCCGCCTGGAATTCATACTCAATTGCATTGTGTTGGCCAATTAAAAGTTTACAAGAGGCTAGAGTTAATTTGCCTTGCTTACTACGTTCTGGTATAAACATCACCACCATGAAGTTCCTTAAAAAAAATAAAATTAAAAATTAACTTTTGACAAACTCTGCAAAATACTCAACTACAAGGACTTTGTTTACAAGTCAGCAGAGGTCCCCAGTCACTCACAGTTCTGCATAAAAACTAATCATGAAGCATGTAATTATGTTGTTTTTTTAATCACAAATTAAACTTTTTCCCACCCCCAGTTACTCTACAGGCAAAAAAAAATTACATTTCCTACACAATAAACTTATAGCTGGAATTAATGGAATATTTCAGTAATATTTAAAGATAATAAACCAGAAAAGGGTGACCCACCACTTTCACTAGAAACCTGTCTTTACAGCCTTCCAGTGCAGGAGAAACAGCCTGGCTACACCAAGAACAGCTCTGTGGAGTTCCAGCATGCACACAATCCAACACAACCCATTCCAGCCTCTTTCAGTCCGGGTTTCCTCTCGGAACCAACCAGTTAAGCTCACTGCAAGATGGCTGCTAGATGTGTAAAGGTGATTATAAAAGAGTAAAAAAGCAAGTTATAAACACACTGCACCCTCAGCTCCTTTATTTTTCTAATTTATGACACTGTACCACTTTGGCTCTGGACAAAGACCAGAGTAATTCTGCTGGCTTAGGTTTAAAGATCTCCATTATTTTTCCCAAGTTATCAGAATTTATTTATGGTGTAATAGCATTAGAATATTTTTGGTTTTTTTTTTAAACCTGCCTGTTTTTTCACCTCTAGTAAATAACGCTAACCTACTCACCTGTGGAAATCTTCTATGAAGAATCAGCCAAAGGCTTTTAAGTCTGGAATAGCCTTGAAAGTGTCTTCATAGAAAGGAGGTCGTTTAGGTTTTCAAATTTACTGTTAACTTCTCCATTAGTTTTACAACAGTTTTTCACAAGTAATCCATTTAAACCAATTTTGAAAGACCAAATTCACATTCTCTTATAAACACTTAGATAGTAATTTAAACTACAAGCAAAATATGTTCCTTCCCAATTAGAAATTAAATCAAGCTGACACACTCAAAGAAATTACGATTTTTTAAAATTGTAATAAAACTATCTGGACAACACTATTACTATTATTTCCACCTTTTTTTTTTTTTTTTTTTTTTAAATGGTAACAATACAAGTTTTGCTCTTAATTTTTCCCCTCTTTCTTAGCTGGAAAATAATATAATTTATCTTCATATAAACTGATTTCACCATTTTGTTGCATTGTCCCAATTCCACATACATATTTCTAGTCTTATGTAATATAAGCCGTTTATCATAAATTTCATTTATCCTTTCCTGAAAGCAACCTCTTAACAAGAAGATAGTTTCATCACATTCAGAATCTAAATAATCCTCAATTCAACAATTATTTAAAATGTAAACAAAGAAACTTCCATCACTGCTGCTTGCATTCACACTTCTGTTGCACTCAGGAAGAAAGCAGCTCAGGTACAACCTGTGTCAGGAAGCAATATTGCATGTCTAGGACTGCTCCGCACCAGTTCCATGCTGGGGTTTACTATTCTTTGGTTGCTAGTGATAGATTGGTGGATCTGTTATGATAACTCACTCCATGGAAACTCCCACTTCTGTGACTCATCTTGGAATTTCTTGCCTTTTTTTTCATTCATGGCAGCCTTTGGTTGGAAGCTACTAACTAGCAGAATGTTAGCTGTTGCATCCTAACAATACAAGTTTTGCTCTTAATTTTTCCCCTCTTTCTTAGCTGGAAAATAATATAATTTATCTTCATATAAACTGATTTCACCATTTTGTTGCATTGTCCCAATTCCACATACATATTTCTAGTCTTATGTAATATAAGCCGTTTATCATAAATTTCATTTATCCTTTCCTGAAAGCAACCTCTTAACAAGAAGATAGTTTCATCACATTCAGAATCTAAATAATCCTCAATTCAACAATTATTTAAAATGTAAACAAAGAAACTTCCATCACTGCTGCTTGCATTCACACTTCTGTTGCACTCAGGAAGAAAGCAGCTCAGGTACAACCTGTGTCAGGAAGCAATATTGCATGTCTAGGACTGCTCCGCACCAGTTCCATGCTGGGGTTTACTATTCTTTGGTTGCTAGTGATAGATTGGTGGATCTGTTATGATAACTCACTCCATGGAAACTCCCACTTCTGTGACTCATCTTGGAATTTCTTGCCTTTTTTTTCATTCATGGCAGCCTTTGGTTGGAAGCTACTAACTAGCAGAATGTTAGCTGTTGCATCCTCTCTTGAATAACAGTGGAACACATCTGGTCTGTGATCAAATATTTGAGATGGGATTTAAAAATCCACTAAGAAGAAATAAAACTCTTGTTATCTTCAAACTATTTAAAAACTAAATCACAGTGTTTATAAAAATCTCCTCTTCACATCCATCTAGGATCTTGTGAGAGAAGCACTCAAAATCAAAAGGTCCTGTCTGTACCAACTGTAGGAATTCCTACTTAACTGTAGGAATACCGCTACCTAAGACAGCACCTTCGCACCCTCGCGATTAGAAATCAGACTTGTAGTACTGTCATTCAGCTACAAAAACAGCCCTATGGTCTCTCCCTCGTTTCTTCACAGCCCTGAACAGTCCAATCTAGAAACTACTGCAATCCCTGAAGCTACCTGTAGCCCCACAGTTACTCCTACAGATGTGTTATATGTGTTCACAGACTACAATGCAGATCCTTGTCCCTGAGCAAGCCAGCTCTCAACTGTGAGCAAAGGTCTATGTACAGAAGCAGGTTACTACCTGCCCTCAAAGGGCAGTTGTGTTTTCCTTAACTAAAAGTGCCACCTTATTCTGGAGCCCAGGAGCACTGCAGGACAGATAGCACCTCCTTTCAGTCAGTCAGTGTTTTGATTTAACCAGCTGATCAGTCACTGCCTTCATCAATGTCAGCAATCTAGCCATCATCAGTATCACCACCCTGGAGAGGCCTAGATGCCCTGTTCCTGGAGAGCAAACGTCTTTGCTCTGTGCCATTCCATGTCTGAAACTGTATTTTGTCTTCTTTTATTTCTGAGTCCCATTTAAGTACCTCTACTTGCTGTTATTACCTCTCCACCTACAGCGTGGCGTGCCTTCAGTAAATCCCCTTTCTTAGTGGACCACATGATTCTTCTAGTTACATCTATTATGCAGGCCTATCAGGGAAATGAGTTCAGAGCATTTAAATTCAGTGACTTGAATTCAACCACCTATCTCAACTGTACAACTATTTCCTTTGCAACAGTCAAGCTAAAGGAATTTCTGATTAAAAACTGTAAGTAGGAACTTCAGAAATTCTTTCAAAAGAGGCTTGATACTGCCAGTAAGAAGGAACAAATGAGATACCAACCAGATTCTATCTTGATTCCTCAAACAGAAGAAGGGCCCAAGAAAGAGTTGTGGCCACTGCTCTTTACATCTGCTCACAGAATCACAGATCGTTGAGGCTGGAAGGGACCTTTACAGTTCAAACCCCTGCTAAAGCAGGATTGCCTAGAGCATATTCCAGAGGATTGCATCCAGGGGGGTGACACTGCACCACAGGAAAGGTGAAATGGTGTTAAGCAGATACAAGATTAACATTTTATTTTGACATTAAGTCAAGTCCAAGTCCTCCATCTTTTACTGCTCTTACAATTTCTAATAAATTTCTGATAAAATATTTTATTTATTTTATTAAGCTGTGCATAAGTAGCTTGTCTTGCTTTCCCCTCACTAAAACTTCAACTAACATGAGGTCCTTGTTTCACTGTTTCTGTCTGTTGCCATTGAAGCCTAACCTGATAAGGAATTTTAAAACACATTTCTAGTTGCTAGCATTGTTTCCTGCTTCCCACACTGCTTATCGAATCTCAAGGACAGCTTGTCAAACCCCAGCCATACTGTTCTGAATTACTAACTAGGGTTGCTGCTCAGGAAATCCTGAGGAGCTGCAAACTGCTGGTTCCAGCTGTTAGCGAGGCTGAGCTGTGAAACCGTGTTACACACACAGAACAATGCACGCAGAAACACACAGAACTCATACAAACACAGGCAGCACCAAGGGCCTCATCCTGTGCCCCTCTCTGCCTGACAAAGATCAAGGCTTGTCAGTGGTAAATGCACACATTCACATGCACACACATACACATGCACACACACACGTACATACACACAACACGTGCACACACGTATTTGGTTTCTGTGGCAAGATTTTGGTAGCAGGTGGGCTTCTGTAAGAAGAGACCTGGAGCCACCCCTCATGTGTGACAGTGCCAGTTTCAGCCAGCTCCACCATGCACCCAGTGCTGGCCTAAGCCGAGCCCACCAGTGGTGCTGGTGGTGCCTCCGTCTCCCTCAGTCTCCTCTCTCTCATTCTCCACAGGCACACACATCCCCAAAACCAGCACTCTCATGGGACCCCAACTCAGTCTCTCCAGCAGTTGGCCTGGACCTGCTAGTCCCTCTGGTAGCCAATGCTTCCAGTCATCTCACTCTGGATACACACACACAAAGATATATGTGGCTTCCTAGTCACGGAGTCACAGTCATAGTCGTCAGGGCGGTAAGGGACCTCTGAAGATCATCTAATCTAACCCCCCGGTAGAGCAGAGTCACCTACAGTAGATCACACAGGAACACATCCAGAATGTCTCGAGAGAAGGAGACTCCACAACCTCTCCGGGTAGCCTGTCCCAGTGTTCTGTCACCCTCACTGTAAAGAATTTCTTCCCTTATGTTTAACTTGAACCTCCTGTGCTCCAACTTGTGCCTATTGCCCTTTGTCCTGTCATTGGACACCATGGAAAAGAGACTGGTCCCACCCCCCTGACACCCCCTGTAGATATTTAAAATCATCAATGAGATCAGACACCACG